AATGACGTCTCGTTACTGCATCGCTTGCACCCAGAGTCCCAACCTTTTTGCCTTTGAACTTACCTGAACTTACCTTGACATTGAACTTACCTGAGTTTTTATTTGCATGCCATTATGGTACTTGGCTACAATCGCCTATTAAGAATAATTAAATATGATGTGAAATATGATACACTGATATATTTACTCAGATGTCGCATATTCTCTGAAAAAAAAAAAAACAAAACGCAGAGAAGTCTGGAGATTAGGGTATGGGAAAGTATGGAATTTTGAAATTCCAAATGTGTAGGAACCCTGGAAGCCGTTACCTGCTGGAGGAATCAATCCAAAAGCAGTGTGTAATCACAGAGTGCTGCAGGGATGATGTTGTTTTGTAGGCCGACACAGACGTTAACATCACCAGGGTTCCTTCGTCAAATCGCCTACAGGATTTTTCCATTGGATTTCTGCAGAAAATCAGCTCTGTGGCAAACATTTAGGATACTTACACATTCTGTTCGGCGAGATGATCTTCACATGAACACTGTTCTCTTGTTACTTTTTAAGCTTCAGTGCAATCACCAGAAGTAAAAAGCTAATGTTAGGCTATAAATGAATGACACCACAGACGCCTGACTTAAACACCGCCACCACAACAAGGCTATAAAGCCATCTTTGGCATGATGACGTTCTGTAGTACCCATAATACCCAGAATCACTGTAAGTGCTCCTGACATTGACTTCTATCAGTTTCAACACACTGCAATAACAATTTTTGGTAGAGCCTGCTCTACAAGATGAGCTAATGGGCGTCACAATAAAAGGTTTTTTAAGCCCCGTCTCCACCAAACCCTTTCAGTCCAGCACCTCTGGAACCAGCAGTAAGCCTTCAGACATGGTACCTAGACCCTCGGTCTGTTCAGACAGTCCTCTTAAATGTGGGCGGGGTTGTTGTCACTCACTGCTCCGTCCAGCACTCGCTGTATTTCCTCATCAGCGGTGACACAGATGGAAGTCTGCACCTGGTTTATCGTCCACAGAACGAGGCTGCACGCCCACATTTTCACAACAAAATAGAACAGGCTGCAGTGAGAGTCTCTCTCCATGGGATATTTAAAAATAGCAGCTTTGTGCATTTAGTCCTTCTCAGGCAAGCTCAGGGGTTGGGGCCATATCATGAAACCTCACATAATCCAAATTCAAAGTAGATACAACACAATAGTACAGTATCACAGAATAAAAACATTCCTCAAGTTTTTCTGAGGTTTTGTCCACAGACCTTATGTCAGGCATCTAAACACAAACCCACTGACTTTGAGACGAGGGAGCCAGTAGTGCTGAAATGCTAACTCATTTCCAGGTGCTAGGACTCACTGCTGGAGCCTTCTGTCACTCACCATCTTGTTGTGTTTCTCCAGCTGCAAGGGGCCGTGGAGGCCGAGTTTCAGGAGAAGTTCCAGTGTTTGCCCGGAGAGATTGAAGACTTCCTGCAGGACAGGAAGATGGAGCTCAGAGGTCACAGCAAGTCCCGATCTTCGACCCCACACGAAACTTTGTCAGAGGAGGACTGAAGTGTGCCGAGGAGCGAAGAACCAGAGTCTGTGCGGAGCAAATTGATCAACATACGAGGAAGTAAGAGCGGAAATGATGATGAAGGGGTGGTGAGAGGAGAGCTCAAGATCATGAAGACTGTTACCTTTGTTTTTAATGGAAGAATGCTTTAATGATTTATTTTTTAATTCCATTCGAGCATGCACTTTGCTGTACTTCAGCGTTTCATCAGAACCCATTAAGTCTTATTTACTGTCATGTGTTATTTTGACAGACAACTGAAACCCAACACTTTGTACTGCATGACAACCCGATCTATCTATCTATCTATCTATCTATCTATCTATCTATCTATCTGTCTGACAGTTTGTGCAGTGAACATATATTTTATATGCAGATGGAGAGATGTTATACAGTGGCACACAATCGCTTCAGCAGCAGATTTCCAGCAGCTCTTTTATCTTCTCATTAGTCAGTCAGCTGTCGGCGGCCATGACAGCTTCTACAACGGTTAACACTACAATAATACCACATTTACAAAGAGCAGCTGGAGGTTATTTTACTTTGTGTGGTGATGAAGGAGGGACCGTGCTCCTCTCCTCCTCTCTTTCCTCCACCTACATATATCGAGCACGTCTAAAATAAAGAGGTAAAATCGATTACAATCAGACATGATGTTGCACACTATAACAACATGTGACGATGTGCACAGCAGCATGTGATGACACACACACACACACCAGTGTAATGTGAATACTGTATACTGTTTCAGGATGTGGGCAAATACACACACAGTGGTTTTTACCATCTTGGTTTTATGTTACATCAATGAATCTAATGTCATATAATATTTCAGAGTATTATTGAGCCTTTTTTGTTTTTTTGTGTTACTTTTTTACACCATAGGGTGATTGTTCATCCATATAATACATAGGAACTGGGATGAAGTCCGTATTCAGGATGTGAAAGGATAGATCGGATCTCTTGAGGGGGGGTAGTATGAGGTACTTATGGTGCGTTCCATTCGTATTGGGAAGTCAGAATTTCTGGATTCCCAATCAGGAATTTCAGCTGGAATGCCCGATGAAGTCAGATTTCCAACTCAAGCTGAAAACACACCGGCGTTGCGGCGCATAATGTGACGCTTGTCAAGTGCCACCCCAAGCACAAACGTCAACATATGCCCATGTAAAGTTGTTACTACTTTTACTGACAGATCTGTACTTCCTCCACCTCTGTGTTAGCTTAAACTCGTGTGGACAGCCACTAATCAAACTTGATGTCTCACCTGAAGAGTCGATCTCCAGAGCTGTGACTCTCCAGGCAATATCTTTTTGACCATTGTCTTTATAATGACGGGACTGTCGGTTGTTTGTTGTTGTTGTATAGATCTGCTGTTTGTGAAGCATCCATGTTTTCACTGACAGTGTCAGAGACACTGGACTGTTGTGCAGAGGCATACAACCGCAAGGTGGTAATTCTAGTTTGTTAGGTCAGTGGTTCCCAACTGGTGCAGCCACAGGGTCCAGATTTCTCCTTAGTCTGAAGCCCTTTTTAAACAGGAGTTGAGCAAATTTGCAGGAAAGCCCAATCAGTGTTTTTTCAGCATTGGCAGTATAAAAACAAAATCGGGGAGTGCAGCAAAATGCCTCCTGCCTACTTTTGTTTATACAGAATGTGCCTTTTTCGGGGCAATGTGGGGTGTGAGCAAGTAACAAAACGTGTAGCTCAGCGTGTGACGTAAACAGTGACGTGGGAGGGAAGCCGCGGCTTAATGGCCTCTTCGTTTGCGAGGACAAGGAGGGCGCGCAATTCCTTGTCTCCCCAGTTGCTCATCTTTACAGTGTCTGTCAGGTTTGTGTTTCCCTCTTGCTACTAGCTGCTCGCTAATTCCTGCTATCAGCTGTTTCCTGTTTATCCACCGCCAGAGGCTCGCACGTGCGGCGTCATCAACAGCTCCTCCCACAAGTCTTCAGTCTGTTTAAACTAAAAAGGTTCCTCTAACATGTCTACCCTACGAGGCGGAAAATTGGGCACCTCAGATCAACTCACCAATCCGGCTCTGTGTGTCTAAACGCTCGTAGACTCACAAGTCAGTCTTTAGACGCTTTGCTTAACTAAAGACTGATGACTTTCTCCCTGATTTTGTGTTTAGATGGGCGGATACAATTTCAGAGTTTAAAAAAATTCCCTACGTTGCAGAACCAATAGTAAATCTGCAGGGCGGTCCTTCGGTGGCTCGCTGAACTCTTGTGCTCGTAAACATAGTCCGACTAGAAACACGTGCAGCGGTACAAAATGGCTCAAGTCACTGTAAGTCCTTCATTTCCACAACCTTGTGGACTGAGCACACGTTTAATAAAACAGAGTTAAATCTCTCGGCATCCATTTCAAGCTCTCTGTGTGTTTGTGTCCTTGCAGATGAGAAAAGGGGGAGCGCACATTTCCAGGAGGACGTGTCCTTTTCAAAAATGCAAGAGGCGTTGCTTTGTTGCCGGCCGTTTTCGCCGGTGTGTTAAACACACTAGAAAGGAGTGTCCCCAGACTATCAGAAGGCGGAGATCTCTGATTATCTGGTGGTGAGACTAAAACGCTCGCAGCTTAGCCATTAGCCAAAAATCTAGCAGTGTAAAAGGGGCTTTAGTTCAAGGTCCATAAAGTTTATTATATTCAGCGTCATACTTGTGTTTGGCCTTGTTGTCAAGCTAGTTTGCTGTCTCTGTCAAGTAGTCACTTACTCTACGGCAGGAAACGGCACTTCAAAATAAAAGCTCTGTGCCAGAAATTCACTGTACTTGAAAAAAAAAGTGTGTTTTTTACAAACTTGACATGTTCGCAAGTCACTTGCTGCCCATTCAGAAGGACCCGCGACCCACTTTTGGACCGCCACACACCGGTTGGGAACCACTGACTATAAAACGTTTTGCTGCTGCCCCTTCCACAGCAGTGCTTTACTTTGCCTCCTGATCAGACTCCAGTCTGCTTCTCCAAACTGCAGATGTGTTGACTGACATCTACTGTGTATAATACACTGACGATGGATAAATGCTTTATACAACCCCACTTCAGAGAGATCCAAACTATCCCTTTAACGAGAACGCTGACACACTTGATTTGAGTGAATAATCATCTGATTGAGTTCAGTGTGATTTCAGAGGATACAGAAACAGGCTCAGTAAACTGTTCTTTGTATTTTACCAGATTTATGCTAGACTTCTGCTGGATCATTTATTGAGTCAGAAAATAGTTTGATTATGCACTTATTTATTTATTCATGAGATTTTGGGAGAAAGATGAATCTCAGTAGTAATTTCTGTTAAGATATTAAATTTATATATCATAGCATGACTGTTAGCCTAAGACATTTATGGACCAACTTTTACTTTGCGTAAGGGAAGGAGGAGGATGTGCACTGACAGATTACAGGATAAATATGTCTTTGTACATTTTTCTTTTAAAACAACCAGATTTTTCTGAGCAGTAGCAGCAACGTCCAATCAGCTCCCTCAGACTGCTACACACACCGACTGACAGCTGGACGTCCTGTTCGACGTGGAGGAGCCTCAGAGTCTGCCGCCACTGCATGATTTATTTGTTTTAATGTGCAGGTTGTTTTAACACGGTTATCATTCTGATGATTTATTAATTGTTAATTAAGGATCAAGAACATTTATGAAGCTGTTGAGATCATTTCAGAGTGCAAAGTCGACCTTTTTGTAAAAATGTAAAATGACCGGAGCTCGTCTCTCTTTGTACAGTGATCTTCCAGAAAATATTGGTTGGAATATTTTCCATGTTTTGCTTTTCTTCTGTGCTAAGGCTCACGCTGTGTTCAACAACCTTTTTGCAGGGAACCATTTCTTCAAATTTAAGCCGCTCTTGATTGAGATCGAACAATCTTGGCCATGACCTGCTCCTGACCTCGTGAAGGTAGCCTACACTGCAGTTTTAATGGCAATATTTTAGACTCAGCTGCTAACGCTAAAGTACTTCACTATTCTGTTTCCACATAAAATGATCTGTTAAGAACATGTTGAAGTCTGCAAAGTGGTTCACCAACAAAACGCCTTGTTGAACGCACCTGTGCGTTAGCGATTAAACTGAGCATGCTTTATCGTCTTGGATTTCTCCGCCAGTTCAATTGTTTCTTGGGTTTTACTGAATGCTATTTTAAGACCAATTGAAAATTAAAAATATTTGATCTAAAAATGAGCTGTGTTCAGTTTTTATGGTGACTTGTGTCTCCAAAACGCTCCTCGTAAAGGAGCCAGAGCCCTCAGCAATCAGACTCCTCTTCTGTGGAACCTTCTTTCAGTATCCGAAGCCGGGTCGAGAATGCAGCAGGCTGAGCAAAGTACTCCAGGCGTCCTGGAGGACCCCGAGGTGTTCCCAGGCCAGACGATATATATATAATCCCTCCAGTGTGTTCTGGGTCTGCCCCGGGGCCTCCTACCAGTGGGACCCACGTCCCAGCCGTCACCTATGAGCTCTGGGTAGTGACTGAAAGAATGAGATCGCGGATACAAGCAGCCGAAATGAGTTTCCTCTGTAGGGTGTCTGGGCTCAGCCTTAGAGATAGGGGGAGGAGTCAGACATCCGGAGGGAGCTCGGAGTAGAGCCGCTGCTCCTTCACGTTGAGGTGGTTCAACATCTGATCAGGATCCTCCTGGGCGCCTCCTGTTAGAGGTGTTCTGGCACGTCCCACTGGCAGGAGGCCCCGGAGCAGACCCACAAACTACAGCTTGTCCAAAATTCCGCTGCCAGAGTTCTTTAGCTTCTCTTCATTGGCTCATGGTAAATTTCAGAATTGATGTAGTGATTTTATCAATAGCCTTTAAGGCCCGCTCTGGACTCGCACCTAAGCACATCTTAGATCTTTCGACTCCGTACGTGCCCGGTCATAACCTCAGGCCCTCAATGAAGGCTCTGCCGGCTGTTCCACACTCCAGGCTGAAAACCAAAGGTGACTGAGCCTTCATTAGTAGAGCCCCACTCCCTGGAACAACTTCCCTGAGGAGAGCCCGGTGAGTTCCTTATCCACTTTGTGAAATCCCTCTTAAAACACACCTTTATAAATGTGCTGTCACAGGGTTTGTGGCCTGAATTCACTTTTGTCTGTAAGTCACTTCTCAAAACTGATTTATATATGAAGGTATTCTCTTAACTTTTATTTAACTGATTGTTTTATTTTAACTATTGTACTCTTTCTCGTGTGTAGCTCCTGTCATCTGATGTCAATTCATCCTCACTGTGACCTCGTCACATGTCCACGTCTGGTCATGGACTTTCCACGTCCACATATGACGTCCAAGGTACCCTGGGTGTGTTGGTTGTTGACGTTCTGGGACGCCGTGTCAACTTCAGCCTGTTACATGCATTGTCTGTTTTCAAAATACACTTCTGTTTTCACAGGAAATGTACAGTTTGCATACAGTCTCTTTCAAAATAAAAGCACTACATCAGTACAACACCACAGATTGACGTTGTTTTTTTTTTTTTCCTTCAACACACACACGTGGTTGGGTTTAGGAAAAAAGAGCAGGGTTTGGCTTTACAGTCTTACAGGAAGTGAACACCTTTCTCCCAGGTGAAAGTCAGTGGTTGTTGGTTCCATCCACCAACCTTCCTGCTCACCTACCATACTCAGACTTCCGCTGCCTTACGCCCGTCATGTCCCCCTGACTCCGCCAGGCGCCGTTAAACAATAACAGCAACCAGCCGCGTTTCATGCTGTACTTCTTCCACCACTGCTGAACACCACTCAGAGGTATGTGAGAAAATATAAATGCAATTTGGGTTCTTTTCTTCGACTAGCAGAAAGTTGTCTTTCCTGTACTTTCACAAAAGTCAAAGGTCAAGGTCAGTGTGACCTCACGCAACATGGTTTTAGCCATAATTGAAGAATTTGTCGCTAATTATGACAAAACTTCACAAAAATGTCCACAAAAAGGATAAAATAATGAAGTGATTACAATTTATATCCAAAAGGTCAAAGGTCAGCTTCACTGTGACATCATAATGTTTTGCAAAAACACTTTTCTGGCCATTATTCAACGTCATACCTCAGGAATACCGCTGGTGAATTTTTTCAAATTTGGCAAAAACATCCACCTAGACTCAAGGATAAACTGATTAGATTATGGTGGTCATAGGTCAAAGGTCAGTTTGACTTTGATTCCGTCTCATTCTCCAGAATGCGATGTCTCCTGAACACCTTGAGGGAATTTCTTCAAATTCAGCACAAGGATGAACTGATTAGAATTTGATAGTCAAAGATCAAGGTCACTGTGACCTTTCTCATTTCTGTAAACACAATATCTCAAGAACACCTTGAGGGAATTTCTTCAAATTTGGCACAAACATTCACTTTAAGTCAAGGATGAACTGATTAGAATTTTGTGGTCAGAGGTTAAGGTCACAGTGACCTTGTGTCTGTCTCATTTTTTGTAAACGTGATATCTCAAAAACACCTTGAGAGAATTTCTTGGCACAAACATCCACCTGGACTCAAGGACGAACTGATGAGGTTTTGCTGGTCAAAATGTTTGGGGCCATAACTCAAAGATTCATACGCTAATTATGACAAAACTTGACACAAATGTCTAACAGGATAAAATAATGAAGGTCAAAAGGTCAAAGGTCAGCTTGACTGTGACATCATCATGTTGTAACGTCATATCTCAGGAACAGAAGGGGAGACATTTGGTCAGATACTGAATTGGTGACTCTAATCTTGAATCTGTGCTGATTGTATAGATCTTCTGTGTGTGAAGCATCCATGTTTTCACTGACATGGATGGAGACTGTCAGAGACACTGGACTGGTGGGCGGAGTCATACAAATGCGTGACGGTAATTCTAGTTTTTCCATATTCACTGTTAGGGTCCGAGGACAGGGGGATGTTGTATGTTGTGAAGCCCTCTGAGGCAAACTGTGATTTGTAAGTAAAACTGAGTTATATTCTGAGTGTTAAAGTCCAGCATCACAGCTGTATTAACATTTTGGAGCTGATGCAGTGATGAGGTGACTGAAAGGAGGTAATTACTGTTGTCAGCCACATCAAGACAAACCCACTGCATTTGTGTCCGAACACAAAACTGAGTGTGTGAGCACGATGCTGAGGGCTTTCACAGAGAGGCAGTGTGCTGCAGTTATCACGGGGGAGGAACACGGAGGAGGGTTTTCAAGCTAAGAGATGGTCTGTCAGTATTCTGCTGCACTACGATGAAGTTTCTGCCTCTGATTTCACCCACAGTATGAAAATTTAACGAGTGGTTTTGTGTGTGTATGATTTTCTTTCTGTTTTACTGTAGGTTGCTGATTTGTTTGTCTTTTTATTAACCTTGGTGGTAAAATCCTTTCTTACACAATGTGTCGCTTCAGTTTTCTCATTGTATTTGCTTTTTATTTTTACTATTTTTAATCTTTCTTTAAATATTTATATAACTATAGTTTCATTAAATTGTCTTAATTGCTGAAACACAGAACTTATTTTTTTATTTCTATTCGTGCTCACAAGGTTTCCAATGATACCAACTATGCAGAATTAGTGAGCAGCTAGTCACGTGTAGTTAAATTACAAAATAAATGTAATTAGTTACAGTTACTGAAAGAAACATGTAATTACAGTCACTAATCAAAATGTTGGTGATTGCAGAGTCGATGCATCTGATATATTCATTTTGATGAAAAAGTTAACGTGTATATGGGAACACCTTCTTTTGGCAGAGCTTATTTCTGGACATTTTTCAGCTTTATTGCCAAACAGATGTGAGAAAAGTATTCTATTGTAAAAAGTTACATTACTTTTACTCTTATCAGCACCTCTGCAGCCTCACAGATCTCATCCAGGCTGTTTGAGCTCTTTCTTTTGGTTTTACTGCAGTTACTGTGACTCAGATTCAGTTCTACCAAACAGCCACATGGGGGCAGCAGAAACAAGCTGTAACCAACACTGACATAGAGCAGTATCACCTCTTTGGTCATGTCTGTACAGGAGTGCACTGCAGTCACTGGATAAAAAAGACACCAGAATAGCAAAGATGTTCCCAGGGTTAGATAAGACCCGTCTCTGCTGTCGTCACGGTGAAGCCACTCTGTTCAATTCATTTTGGAGCTGCCCAAGTGCTGTACCATACTGGTCAGCCATCTCTGAAACATTCTCTACTGTGTGTAGGAAGGGGATAAGTTGGAGTAGTTCCTGGAGTGTTTGCACTCAGAGGTGCACAGGGTGATGCTCTAGCCTTTCTGTCATTATTGGCACAATGTTTAGTGTTGATTCACTGGAAATCCACCAAACCACCGTCTCACAGTAAATGGGTGGAAAGTGTTATGTTACATCTCTAGCCTGACAAACTAAGATACTCCATTGGGGTCTCTGTACAGATATTTTCAAAGTCTGGAGGCCTTTCCTGTCTTATTTTGAACAGAATTTTAAGCCTGAAGATTAAGCGTTAAATTTGGGTTGCCTGAGCCTCCATCTCATGACCCCAGAGTGTCTGGGGACCACTGACTTTCACCCAGGAGGCCGGTGTTCACGTCCTGTAAGATTGTAAAGCCAAACCCTGTTCTTTGTTCCTAAACCCAACCATGTGTTGTTTGTTTTTTAAGGAAAAAAAATGTAATTTCGCGGTGTTGTATCGATGTAGTGCTTTTATTTTGAAAGAGACTGTATGCAAACTGTACATTTCCTGTGAAAACAGAAGTGTATTTTGAAAACAGACAATGCATGTAACAGGCTGAAGTTGACACGGCGTCCCATAATTTCAACAACCAACACTCCCAGGGTACCTTGGACGTCATATGTGGACGTGTAAAGTCTATGACCAAACGTGGACATGTGACGAGGTCACAGTGAGGATGGGTTGGCTTTTGTTGCCGATACCTAATCGTATTTTTTTGTCGACATCTCGGCATCGGCTGTGGCGTCCCAGAACGTCAACAACAGATGCAGGAGGATACCTAGCTCATAATATGTAGACATGAAAGTCCACTGACAAAGCAGTGATGTGTGACGACTCGGGATGAGAACGTGTTGAAAAATCTGCAGTAAAATAAATCCAACACATCCTCACTGTGACCTCGTCACATGTCCATGTTTGGTCATGGACTTTCCACGTCCACATATGACGTCCAAGGTACCCTGGGTGTGTTGGTTGTTGACGTTCTGGGACGCTGTGTCAACTTCAGCCTGTTACATGCATTGTCTGTTTTCAAAATACACTTCTGTTTTCACAGGAAATGTACAGTTTGCATACAGTCTACTTCAAAATAAATACACAGATTTTCCTCCTGGGTGAAAGTCGGTAGTTGTTGGACCCATCCACCACCCCTCCCACCTGTGCTACTCGGACTTCTGCTGCCTTAACTTTTGTTTTTGTCCTGCCACGTTTCCCCCAATGCAGCCAGGCGCCATTAAACAATAACAGCAACCGGCCACATACCATGCCGACGTGAAAGGACGGCTTTTTTCGTCTGTGTCTGACACCAGAAGTCACTGACCAAGCGCCGGATTTCGACAACTTTCGACAACAAGTGAAACCAGGTTGAATAAATACAAAATGCAGCCATTTAAATGTGTATGCCCCTCCCCAAATGCTTAAAATTATTTGACATGCCTCCCCCTTTTTGCACCACCCCCCTCCCCCCTCATAAGTAACGAACAGTCCCTAACTTCACTTCAGGACCTTTGAAACATTTTTACAGTGTGGCGTTGCTGAATCCTTCCTCCTCCTCTGCGGGACACCACTCACAGGTTAGTCAGAAAATATAGATGTATTTTTTACCTCTCCTTGAACACACAGCTGCCTGTGCTGTAACTTTCCAGCAGGTGGTGCCATTGAGCCATAGATGCCCCTCCTCTCTCGCCGTAGAAGAAGAGCTGCAGCCCCTGTCAGCATCAGCACCACCAGCAGAGACGTCTCCCTCCTCCGATCCTCTCCTCCTCCTCTCCGTCCACTGCGGAACATCGGCCTGTTCTCCTCCCGTCCCTCCGCCAGCGGCACACCCGGCCCGCCATGGACAACTCCGGCAAAGAGAAGGAGGCCATGCAGCTGATGGCTGAGGCCGACAAGAAGGTCAAAGCGTCCGGATCCTTCCTCGGGGGGATGTTCGGGTAAAGGATGCTCTCATCCTCTGTTTACCTCTCTCTCATTTTGGATATGGTGGTGGTGGGAGGGGGGGGGGTCCCTGCACGCGGGGCCTATCGCAGCCTTTAAATTCTTTAACGGAGCAAATCGTTTTAATAATTCTATAATACAGTTATGAAACCACTGTGTGTTTCTGTGGCGCTCAGTAATGACCGTCAGAGGCCTGATCAACCCCTGCATTCATCTGTTGTATATATTATTATGGGATATTCCTACAATCTGCTCCATACATCCCTGCAGGAGCTGCTCGCTTCCTCTGTGACACCGTGTCCTTCTCACTCATCTATACACAAACTGTCACAGCGCATTTTATTTATTACCAGCCGTGTGCTGAGAATAAAAATGTGAGCAGTCATCGCAGATACTGTGGCCCGCTGCTGTCCCGCTGCTGTCCCGCTGCTGTCCCTGTCACGCGACAGAAATGTGAAGGTGGCACATCGATGCAGCTGCGGGAGGAGAGCGGGCTCGCACAGAGCGGGAGGCCGGGGAGGGATGCAGGGATGCGCGGAGAGGAGCGAGGGATCAGGCGGTGGTGATGGAGGTGATGCGGGGGTTGGTGTGTGTGTGTGTGTGTGTGTGTGTGTTTGGTGTGTGTGGGCTGGGGCCCTTCATGTGTGGGAGGGGCGGATGTTTACATGTAAAATGGAAACACTGGAATATAAATTTTGGTATGACGTAACCTGATATAGATAGATAGATAGATTAACTGATTGATCAAATGACTGGTCGACTGGTTGATCGATTGATTATGGCCCCTTTCCAGAGACATATTAGCCTGCATCAATACCTCACTGTCATTCTGTTAAGCACTTTCAACCTTACTAAAACCTTATATTTTATAAATGTACAGTGTGTTTTGGATGTTGCATGTAAATGTGTGTAAACATACAAAATACAACAAAGGGAATATTCAGTGTTTCAAAACCGCCCGATGTCCAAGGTTCATTTTAGAGCTGAAACAGTTCAATGACTCGACACACAGAAAATTAATGGGAAGCTATTTTACAATCAGTTAAACAAAAATCGCCCCAGGGCCTCCATCTAGAAAGGGCCCCCCAACAGCCCCCCCCCCCCCTTCTGGTCACTGTTAGTATTCAATGGAGGTCCAGCAGGGGGCGCTGTGTGCTGTGAGCTCTGTGTCATCACTGTGGCTGATTGTATGTTTTATTAGACATTATAGGTTTGCTTGGTCTCAACAAGAGACACATTATTCACAGCACATGGAGATATCTGCCGAGTTAGTCACAAGGGCCCCTGAGGAAGCTCCGCCCCAACTGTGCTGAGAGTCTAGCTCCGCCCCTGAAAACACGACATTTGAAGACGTCACTCTTTTTTTTACGTTTCCTGATGTTGTGTCATGGCACATAATTAATGAAGAAAATAATCCACAGATTTACTGATACTGAAAATACGTCTTAGCTGCCTGTCGCCCCGACTGAAATTATTCAAATTACAGTTTATTCTCAATTTTATTTTGATTGAATTTCATTTTTATTTGATCTGATCTGATTTATTTTATTTCATTTTTTATGTTAATTAATTTAATTTAATCTGATTTCACCTCATTTTCAGATTTTTTTTAAAAAATTTTTCTTACATCCCAGGACGTCAACTGTTTCACATAAACACACGTAATATACAAAAATACAAAACAACATTTAACCAAAAAACTAAACCACATAACAAACAAATACATCAAATTACATCAGACATTATGAAAAGTGGACGCAGTGCAACACATTAATCATTCTCCATTCAGTGATCGACCCAAGCACGCCGAGGACCAACTTTTATTTCAGAAAACATGAGATTTAAAAAACAAAAAACAAAATGTTTTTCCCAAAGAGACAAAAGAACTGTTAAAACATCAACCATAAAAGAGCCATTGAACAATAACCATCACTTGTCAGTTTGATTAATACTCTTATAACCAGTCTGATCAGACAGGAGCTGAAAACGTAGATACACTGTGGGTCTCAAACGTTTCTCTTCATCAGGGAGCAAACTGTCAGACGTAATAAGACACAGTTAGTTTGTTAGTTTGACTTCTGACGTTTTAAATCCAAATTTAAATCTTGTCGCTCCCTTCAGATCCACCCACCACCACGCTGTGTCCACATTTTACATCGCCACCATATCAAATCAATATAACAGATAAACAACATCCATCAATAACAACTCTGTGATCAGGCAGCTTCCTCTAACTTCAGAACTCAAATGGATCACATCTGTTTCCCCACACGGGACCAGCATGTGTTATTAATGAGCTCAGAGTTAAGAGACGAAGAAAACTTATTTGGGGTCATTTGGTGGTTTTGGCAGGTTGAGACGATCCACTGCAGAAAACATGAGATTCATTTGATCAATAATGTTCATATAATGTCCCTCTGAAGAGGACAGGTGCTTTGTAGAGCTGGCATAAGATACTTAGTGAAGAGAATATCCTAAAATCTAATGTGATCAATCAGTCAGACTGAATCTTATTGATAAACAGAGTTCTGGTTTGTGACTCTGGGACAGTATGCAGGCTCTGCATTATCAGCTTAATGAACTTGATTTAATATCTCTGTTGTTGCCCAGTTTCCTGCAGCAGCAGCAGGAGATGCTGACTGTCACACTTTTACTTGAAGTGAACAACAAAATGGAGGAAATCCACTTCCTTCAACCGTCCACAGCTGCACAGAGACTTTAACTTTATTGATCCAATAGCGGCATGAACATATTCAAGTCTGTTATGGCAATGAGATTACACACTTGTTATGCCCTTAAGGTATTGCACTTTACATCCACGCTCTCTATGATTGATTGATTTTTATTTTGTGTCATGCACATTTACATGTGCCCCTCAGGGGTTTACGAGACACAGTTACAGTGACGTCACAGTAAACGATCCAGAGTGCATCTTATTTTACTGCTCAGTCCAGGAACTGAAGACTCTGCCTTCTGGCTCAGACATGGCAAAGAAATTCAGCCACCAAAAAGGTTCCCCCTCTGACACAAAGCTCAAATTTATCATGATCATCCAACCAAAAGACGTCAACATGGATAGAGGTCATATTACTGAAAAGTACATTCTTTAAGTCTTCATATACGGGACAGTAAAACAAGAAATGAACCTCATTCTCAACTTCATTCTGGAGTGGTGTTAAACCTTCTCTAAAGCCCCGTCTCCACCAAACCCTTCAGTCCAGTCCCTTTGGAACCAGCAGTGACCCTTCAGACATGGTACCTAGACCCTCGGTGTGTTCAGACAGTCCTCTTAAATGTGGGCGGGGTTGTTGTCACTCACTGCTCCGTCCAGCACTCGCTGTATTTCCTCATCAGCGGTGACACAGATGGAAGTCTGCACCTGGTTTATCGTCCACAGAACGAGGCTGCACGCCCACATTTTCACAACAAAATAGAACAGGCTGCAGTGAGAGTCTCTCTCCATGGGATATTTAAAAATAGCAGCTTTGTGCATTTAGTCCTTCTCAGGCAAGCTCAGGGGTTTAGTGTTGCTGTAGCCCACAGGAAGTGAGGATTAGAATATATGACCTTCACATAATCCGCTCCAAATTAATCTATATTTTTAAAGTCATTACTAAAAGTGTGTGTCATATAAAATCTAAAGTGATGGTCAAAGTTGTCACAGTTAAATTTAAGGTGTGCTGATGGATTCACGTCATCAACTCATGCATTGAGTAACATTACAAGTTAACGTTCCACCTTAAAAGTTGCCGGCAGTCGGCCCAGTGAATGAAGTTATTTTTTTCTCTTTCATTTTATAGTTGTCGTTTACTGATGTATGAACAGAGGTTACATAAAACCAGAGTGATCGTCCTCTACTGACCAATCAGACTGCAGGGTTTCTAGCTCCACCTTTTAGTACCAGATCTGTGTGCTAGGTACCCCAACAGAGGGGGGACAAAACATGGGGACGCTAAGGAACGCTTCTGTTGGTACCATCCACAACTTTCACTGTGGAGACAGAAAAAAAGTGAACCAAACTGAACTGAGCCTTTGTCTTTTGTTTAGATTATACTTCAACACAAGGTGCCACACTGTAGCTGTTCTTTATGAGGCAATACGTTCATAGTTTTGGTTTGTACCATGAGTCAACAGATCGTATTTCTCTAAACATGAGAAACATGTCACTCCTAATCTCCTGAATATCACACGTTAACCTGTTCTGGAACATAAATGACAAGTTGTTTAAATAAAATAATGATTTCAGCTCATTAGCCCACAGATGACAGTGGGAGATGTCCTGATTAAATATGTTTTGGCGAGTCTCTGATCCGACATCTTCAAATCTATTCCAAAGCCGAAGCATTTGACGTTTATGTCTGATGTTTGGAGGTTCCCATCCCATATCTCTACTTATGGCCAAAACTGAAATAAATTTAAGGACTGCCAGGAAGAATCGAATCGCTCTATAATGCATCATGTTACAACCTGTATATTCTCAGAAACCCCAAAGCTGACTGACTGAGCTGCAACTCTGACAGGTCCTGTAAATGTCATGTGCTCATCCAGTGTCAGGACAGGATATTTATACTAGTCAATTAAAAAAAAAGAACTTCTTTCCACTGATTCTGAAATGTACTATTTGTCTTGATTTACCACTCGTCTCTCTGTCTGCTTGACTCGCTGTCCTCCGTGTGTTTCGTCTTCTTCAAATAGACGCCGAGCTGCAGAGCCAGAGCTCTGTCCCATATACAGAGACGTAAACACCATGTAAACTAGTTCATGCTACAGTCACGTGGCCACGAATCACATATACAGTCGGCTACGTGAGAATCAGATGCTCAAAATCTGAAACTGGAGTTTTATTTCTGGTTGTAGAGCCTTAAAAAACATCAGATTTTTGCCTCATAGGAGGCGAAATGCGATTTTAGGGAGAAAGCTGCAGGGTGAACGTGTCCTCAGCTGACCTCCACAGTGATGTCATACAGCTGGACGATGCTGCATGTGAGTTTATGTTCGTGCTTCATGACAGTTTGTAACGTTAAAGTTAAGATGTTGTCTACATCACTGATTCGTATGAATAAAATAAATTATGTAAAAGGGAAATGATTCATCCTGATTGTTTTTGCCTTGTGTGTGTGTGTGTGTGTGTGTGTGTGTGTGTGTGTGTTATAGGGGGAACCATAAGGTGGAGGACGCCTGTGAGATGTACGCCAGAGCAGCCAACATGTTTAAGATGGCAAAGAACTGGAGCGGTATGTGACACAAACACACACACACATGTCACACACTTGCTCTGCATGATGAACAGAAAACACACACGTGAATCTGTGCACCGATAAACAAACTCCCACACACACACACCCACACACGAGCACACATTCACATTTTAACAGGATATAAATGATTCAGTCGCCTGCAGAGAGACTTACATTACCACATGCAGCAGTAAGAGCTTCACACACACACACACACACACACACACACACACACACACACACACACACAGCTCGTTCACATTCACATTCGGGAGTGTATCGATAATAAGTGAGACCTTGGTGGCTGCAGAGACCAGTGTGTGCACGAGATAGGACAGCTGTTCCAATAATAGCTGGTGCTGTGCAGAATTTAGCTGTTCAGATGTGTGTTTGATGGTTCTGCTGCCTGAAGTGTGTCGACAGAGAGAACAGACAGTGAGAGGGACGATTAAAAATGAGGAGTGTTTGGTCAAAAGCAGGAGACTGAATTTCTGTGTGTGTGTGTGTGTGTGTGTGTGTGTGTGTGTGTGTGTGTGTGTGTAGCTGCGGGGAATGCATTCTGTCAGGCTGCTCGGCTCCACATGCAGCTGCAGAACAAACTGGACTCGGCCACCAGCTTCGTTGACGCCGGCAACGCCTACAAGAAGGCCGACCCACAGGGTGAGCGTCACTGTCTGACACACACGCAGCTGATTCATTCAAACATATTAAAGTCTATAAATCTCATATTGCTACTCTTTCCAAAAAACACCACTGGTACCTGACACATGTATGACGTTTGTTCTGTTCATGCTTGGCTAAAAGCAAATAAACCAGTGGATACACACGGTGCCGTGCACAGACATTATGCAGGGCAGGTGCACAAGTAGAAAAAAAGGTATCTCTTCCATCTTTGGAAGTGATGGTGCAAAAAAATAAATAAATACATGTGTTTGCACGCTGCTGGGAGGTTTCTATCTGCCAGCACCAGAGGGTTTTTAAGGCCCAAATACATACAGTACATTTGTGCACAGTCATGAGCAGGGAAATGTCAGAACAGCGCACATATGAGGTGTCTAAATATCTATATTGTACACACTCAGCTGCTGCTACACATTAGTGTTCTAACAAACAACACCACACTGTGCACACTTTAGTCATCTTTAAATTAAGGCTGCTTTCACACCGGCCCTGTTTGGTTTGGTTCAATCAAACTACAAACAAATGAACTCTGGTGCGGTTGGTTTGTGGTGAGAAGGTGTTGCGACCTGGATGTGAAGCAACTGCAGTCACATGACACATTGTTTGTGTTAAACATGAGCATGTTACAGTCCTGGAGGATTATTAATGTGCACCTCCTCCTGTACTGCCTTAATATGCACATTCAGCACATCCAATGCATCAAAACATTGTTTTCTAGTTGGAGCCGCGCCTCGTTTTCAAACTGTATGGTTTGACTAAAATGAACAATGACAGCAATATAGTCCACGATGAGCAGCGCTAAAATCAACCTGCGTAGTTGTCCCTCCATTGTGACATTAGAAAGTGTCACATTTATCTTGCAAGTGTACTCTTCTTCAACGTTTGCTTTACTTCCTGGATTTTTCCCACATGGAAATTCTGACCAATCAAGAGTAGCTTTCTCACACAAGCAATTATACAACTTTGGAACAACATGAGTCCCTGATTCAGACCAGAGGAGACCACTCTAGGGCTGACAGTAGCCTTAATAACATCACGATCAACGAATCTTGACATGAAACTGAAAAACACTCTTCTCTGGATAAATTAATTCATAAACCAACCTACCATCTAAACTAGGCCTGTGTTCACTTGCAACAATCAGGCTGAGCACATTCTCCTCTCCCTCCTCACTCTATTTTCTCTCCTCCCCTCAGTTTGTTCTCCTCCTCTCCTCATGTGCTCATTCTTGTGTTCTGAGATATGAGACGTGCACTGCTCTCCTTCTCTGTGTCATTTTGTTTGATGTAATTATCAGAGACACAACCTGGGAGACATAAACATTATTTCAGGAAGTGGGAAAGCAATTCAGCATCTGTCTCCACTCACACTGGACAGTTGATGGAGCAGAATCTGGCAGACTTCACACCAGACTAGTTTACTTATTGTTAAACTTAACGATGGGTTATTGCCTAAATCAGCCTGGCTGTATCGAGGTGTTTTAATAGTGGTTTATTGTCACAGCAGTGACAAACAGTACTGAGACTGAGGGCAAACACGGTTGTTACCTTGCTGTCCATTAAGGCAGGTGAGGGAGACGTGATGCTGTTCTGCAGGACGCTTGATTTGTGTGCGTTAACTGTAGTGGCTGTGACAACAAGTGAAGAGAGAGGAGGGAGGGCCTGAAGCTCCTACAGTCTCACAGAATTAAAAACTCAAATGCAACACGCTTTTAATGGAGAACTGACACCATGTGCTGAACTTAAAAAAAAACAAAACATAGAATTAGAAAAAGAAATGGGAAAAACATCTTGCAAAAAGGTCACTTATCTCAACAGAGACCAAAAGCGCAGGAACTCGAGCACCACTTGGGGTCTATCTGTGCACGTGCCTGGCAGCAGCAGCAGTTGATTTTAATGGACGTGCATCAGGAAATGTGTCATGCTGCAACCGTGTCCCATGTATTTAGCCCAATAGGTTTAACATAGACTGTGCAGAATACAATACGTACTTGTCGGTGAAGATTCTCAGTCATCCAGGTCATGGTAATCGTAAGTGCTAATCAGAGTGGGTGAAAATTTCCGCTCCTCGCTTGCAGACCTGTCACTTTGCACCGCTCGTCTGCTCCGCTTGGTTCTGCGCAGTCTTCGCTCCGATCCACTTCACTCCATCATAAATTTTATCCCGCTCCACTCACTCACCACTCCGCTCAAAAAAACTGCGTTGTACTACCCTAACCTGTAATCTTCTATTCACAAATAAAACATGAGCTTGGTAGATTCTCTGGGGAAGCCCTCTCCCCTCTCCCCGCAGTTAGGGACTGTTTTCCACGGTACTGCTGCTGGGCAGGGTGGAAATAAGTCAAAGTGTGGAGGAGACGGACCGGGTTAAGCGGCTGACCTCCGGGGAAGCCCTCTCGCCTCTCCCCGCAGTTAGGGACCGTTCTTCAAGGTACCGCTGCTTCTCTTCTCAGTTTCTTTTCTGAAGTACACAGTAAACTCCATAGTTTTGAAAGAAAATAGTGTGTGTGTGCGCATGTGCAAAGATGCATTCTGGGTGGGGCATGAGCGACCGGAGCGAAATTGGAGCGAGAGATAAGGCTCCGCTCCACCTTTTTAAAAAAAATAGCCGCTCCTCGCTCAACACAAAATCCTCCCGCTCCCCGCTCAGCTCCGCTCCGCTCACATGCTCATAGGCAACTGGACTTGCTTGCGTTTCTTGAAGACGTTTCGCCTCTCATCCAAGAAGCTTCTTAAGTTCTAAATGACTGGTACAAAGTTGCAGATTATAAACCCTGTGTGGGTGGGAACCCCACACAGGGTGTGAGAACCCCACACAGGGTTTACCGTGATGTCACCCATTGGATTGTGGACTGCAGTTTTGAACCTTTGAGTTTGCCGTCTTGTTTTTGGGAGCCAGAGGGGACCATATTTGGGCGAGAGTGTGGAGCCTCAGCCTGCAGTGGCCCAAAACGTAATATATTACTGTAACGAGTTACGTCTGTAGCATGTTACCCCAACACTGATAGTGAGTACTTTTATGTTTGGTACTTTCATATTCTGATGCTGATACTTTTTGAAAACATTTTGAATGCAGTTCTTTCAGTATTTCTACACTGTAGTATTTCTTCTGTTTCTTGACACTGGCTGCCTCACATGTTGAAAAAGGGAAGCCTCTGTATCAAAGTCAGAGTCAGACCCTGCGGAGGTATCGCTGGCAGATTAAATTGGGTCCCTGGGTTGCTCTTGAAAAATTGATATCTGGGTTATGCTGCAGCGGCCCTCCTGCCTCCCTGTGATGAGCTTAATACAATACTGAGGGTTAGCAGGTTAGTCGTCACAGTGGGAGGAAACTCAGAGTTTTAATTTGACTCAGTTTCTTTGTGTTTGTAACATCCAGCGTTTCTCTCTGTTTCCTTCCAGAGGCCATCAACTGTCTAAATCAGGCCATCGACATCTACACTGACATGGTAAGATCTGCCTCAAACATCAAACTGCTCCCTGTGACTGATTTCTCAATAATAACCCTGGATGTGTGTGTGTGTGTGTGTGTGTGTGTGTGTGTGTGTGTGTGTGTGTCGGTTACAGGGTCGGTTCACCATCGCTGCCAAACATCACATCACTATAGCCGAGATTTATGAGGCTGAGCTGGTCGATATCGAGAAGGTATATAATTATTTTCAGCCTGCTGTCCTCAGTCTTTTTCATTATGTTTGTTGTTGAATATAAATTATTATTTTCTTATTTTGTTTTCAGGCCATCGCCCACTACGAGCAGGCAGCAGACTACTACAAGGGAGAAGAATCCAACAGGTACATGTGCTGAAACGAACACACACATGAACGCAGCTGAAAAGAATTAGTCAAATAATCCGTCAGTCTGTCAACAGAATATTAACTTGTCTCGCAGTGAAATCTGACAGTGGTGGTGCAGTAGATTTTGTGCACAGTGGTGCAGTGAGTCAGAGTTAAAGGTGCAGCCCTGTAACACCCTGATGAGGTGGTCAGTGAATGATGATGACTCCCACTCCCACAGATTTATCACAGCAAAGCCTGACGACCTTTAACACATAATCCATCATCTAAATGAGCTCGGCCTGGACGATATTACTCTTTATACTTTCAGGAGCATAATGGTGGAAACGTATCAGCCATTAACTTGTTGGTTTCTTTGTGTTTGTTTCAGCTCAGCCAACAAATGTCTCCTGAAGGTCGGACACTACAGCGCTCAGCTGGAGCAGTACCAGAAAGCTATTGAAATCTATGAACAGGTAACAGAGATGGTTTATCAAGTAATGACCACACATGTATACCATCCATCCATCCATCCATCCATCCATCCAGGCCAGATGAGGTATATAATCCCTTCAGCGTGTTCTTGGTCTCCCCCGGGGCCTCCTACCAGTGGGACGTGCCCAGAACACCTCTGACAGGAGGCGTCCAGGAGGATCCTGATCAGATGTTGAACCACCTCAACTGACCCCTTTCGACATGAAGGAGCAGCGGCTCTACTCCGAGCTCCTTCCAGATGTCCAAGCTCCTTACAGATAGCTCCACAAGTACAGACACGCATTAGAGGAAACTAATTTTGGCCGCTTTGGCCCAAGGCATCCCCCAGGGTTCGGTGCTTGGTCCCCTCCTGTTGTTCCTCTACATGCTCCCCCTTGGCAACATCATTTACAGCCATGGTCTTAACTTCCACTGCTATGCTGATGACACCCAGCTCTACATCTCCACTACATCCATCACCACTGAAACTTAGTCCACTCTGACCACCTGCCTCAATGACATCAAGTCCTGGAAGCAGGCCATGACATGATCATCATCGGTCCCAAATCCCTCACCAAAACCTCTCACAACTTCTGCCTCACCGTTGACATTTCCACTCTGTTTTCCTTCCCACACATCTGCAACCTTGGAGTCATTTTGGACAACAACCTCTCTTTCAAAACATATAAATCACATCACCAGTACTGCCTTCTTCCACCTAAAAAAACACAGCTCGTCTCCGCCCATCACTCTCCCCCTCTGCTGCTGAAACGCTCATCCATGCCTTCGTCACATCCAGAATTAACTGTAACAGCATTCTTTATGGAACACCATCCAAACTCCTAAATAAACTCCAAAACATCCAGCGCTCTGCTGCCCGTCTGCGCACCCATTCCCGATCCAGCGATCACATCACCCCTGTCCTTCGACATCCAATACAAAGTCCTCCTCCATAACCAGGCCCCCTCCTACCTCACGGACCTGCTCCACCGCCACACTCCTTCCCACAGCCTCCGCTCCTCTGAGGCCAACCTCCTGACTCCACCACTCAGGACCAAGCACCGAACCTGTGGTGACAGAGCCTTCTCCATAGCTGCCCCCCCTCCCCCTTAAACACATTCAGTGCACCGACCTGTCCTGGGTCAAATCACTCATCAAAGCTCATCTCTTCAAAACGGCATTTAATGTGTGAATGATGTTGTTTGTATTTTATTGTTGTCTGTTTTATGATAGTTTTTAACCCACGTAAAATGTCTTTGAGTACTATGAAATGTGCTCTATAAATAAAATGTATTATTATTATTATTATTATTATATCCTGAAGTAAACATTTTTAGGAAACCTTAAGGAGAAGATTTGAGTATGTTTTGTGCAACCAATTTTATTTTTCAAGGAAACCTAAACTCAGACTTTAGGAGTAGAGTCTGCATGTCTTGCTCGCTGGTCAAGATACTGAACCCCAAATTGCTCCGACGGCTCGGTGTGTGTGAATGTTTAAGCGGAGTGGCAGGTGGTACCTCAGCACGGTAGCCTCAGCCACCAGTGTATGAATGAGTGAATGTGACATGTAGAGTTAAAGCGCTTTGAGTGATCGGCCAGGGGCTATACAAGTGTAGGCCCGTTCACCATTTACCGGGCGGTACTGGGCTGGAATAATATTTCAGAAGGGGTTTATGATTTTAAAAAAAGTTTGGAACAACTGTCCAACCTGATCACACGCTGCCTTAAATCTCAATGACTGTGTGTGTTTGTATTTCTGTGTGTGTGTTTCAGGTTGCTATGAGCACCATGGACAATCCTCTGTTGAAGTACAACGCTAAAGAGTATTTCTTCAAGGCCTCACTGTGTCACTTCATAGTGGACGAACTGAACGCCAAGGTACACACACACACACACACACACACACACACACACAGACAGCCACGTATACACACTGATGTACCAATGCCTTGTGTTGCAGTTGGCCATAGAGAAGTATGAGGAGATGTTTCCAGCCTTCTCAGACTCCAGAGAGCTCAAACTCTTAAAGGTACTTTTTTATTTTTTCATCTCTGTCTCTACATTTTTATTATATTTTTTCATAAAAGGAAACACACTTGGCTCAATTGGCACTTGACACACACGCTTCAATATTAAAATATGATTTATTATTATATTATTTATTATTTAATATTCATAAAGAGCTTTTATTAGGAAAAAAAACATTTATTTTTCCCATATATTGCATTAATATTATATTAAAGGTCATGTTTTGGTTTAAAATACCCAGTTTTGGTGGCACAGTCACGGCTGGAGAAGGGTCGCTGTCTCGATAGAAAACAATCTTAGTAAAAAGCAGATGGCTATAAAGCAGCTGGGAGCAGAACAATGAGTCGCTGTTTGTCTTGAGCTGTGGTCTCTCAGTGACAGCTGATTGGCTCCGAACTGCAGTCGGCAACACGCTGACTTATTAACGTTAATTTTAGCTTGGCTCGTTATCAGCTGGTAACTATCGTCTAGTGGTCTGGTGCACTCTGCAGAGGGAAGGATGGTGAGGCGTTCAAGTGCTGTTCACCAATGCTGACTTGATTGTAGTCTTCACCACAAGACGACAAACATGTCCTTCTCATGAGGTTAAACATTAGCTCTGAGCTCATCTCTGACTATCATCACTCTTTGCCACTTACCGTCTTCACCATGACACCTCGTGAGCTGCTTCCCTCCACTTACACAATAGTACACGTCACACCCTCTCAGGTTGGGATAGTGCACCCAAAACTGAAAATTCAGCCATTATCTACTCACTCATATGCCGAGGGAGGCTCAGGTGAAGTTTTAGAGTCCTCACATCACTTGCAGAGATCCAAGGGGAGAGGAGGTAGCAACACAACTCCACCTAATGGAGGCTGACGGCGCCCCAGATTCAAACGTCCAAAAACACATAATTGAAACCACAAAATATCTCCATACTGCTCGTCCGTAGTGATCCAAGTGTCCTGAAGCCCCGACATAAAAAGTTGTTTGGAAAAACGTCAGTTGAACTCTGTTTTTAGCCAACTTTATATATCGGGGCTTCAGGAGCGTATTCATGATTTGCAGAAACGTACAATGCCAACATTTTCCTCTGGGGACTGGGCTGCTGTGATATAAACAGCTGGCACTTCTATGTCATAGCAAGGTTGAAGGTCATCTCAGTGATTTGCAGAAATATGACCATGAAGTCGAGTCCATGAGGGTTTAAAACTCTGTGTTCAAAACATTTTTGACGCTCACACACTCAGCATCACTTGATGTTAGTAAAGTTTCACGTTGTGTCTCCACAGAAACTCCTAGACGCCCACGAGGAGCAGAACAGCGAGGCGTTCACAGAGGCCGTGAAGGAGTTTGACTCTGTGTCTCGTCTGGACCAGTGGTTGACCACGATGCTGCTCCGCATCAAAAAGACCATCCAGGGAGACGCCGGGGACCTGAAATAGACGAGTCTAGAGACGGGGGAGAAAGGGAGGGAGACAGGGGGGAGAAGAAAGATCAGGGAAGGGGGTATTGGTGAATAAATGAAAGGAAAGAAGAATGACATGGCGTTTTTAAGACGTGCTTTGGTGGAAGAAAGTGTCAAAATGAGGATAGACGGAGACACAGACAGATGAAGAGGGGGTATCAGGGAGGGAGGGTGGGACTGAGGGAGTTTACAGTTGTACATATCAGTCTGCATGTGACCCCCCAACTAAATAAGCATCACCTTTAAACCACCTTTAGACGACCCCGTGTCCCTGGTCCTACAGTATTGCTCTCCTAACACTGGACTGAATTGTACTTAAAGAGACAGAAATAACAGGTGAGTGTGTGTGTGACAGAGAGTGTGTGAGAGTGTGTGTGTGTGATCTCTGCAGTAAGGTAATTTATCCACTCTTTGATGGGAAAGTGTGCAGCTCATATCAGATTTAAGGATATATGTTATTAAAAAAGGAAAATAATGTTATTTATGAGATTACTGATATTTATTGTCAATACGGAAAATATTATTTATTGTTTATTCTGGTTCTCAGTGTTACAATTCGTCTTAATATTTTAGGTATTAGCCCCTCCTCTCCCCTCCTTTATTCTCCTTCACCTCCTCTCCTGACCTGTTCTCCCCTCTCCTCCTCCTCTTCCTCCTCTGTCCCCCCTCGTCCTCTCCTCACCCCCCACACCCCGTCAGAGTCAGTGATATCACCCATCGTGACCGGTTTGTGTTCTGGCCAGCGGTTGGTCGGTGCCGTTAGCCACCAGTGCTTACCCCCCGTCACTGCCTCGTTTGTGCATGTCTGTTGTCATGTTGATGTAAGTGTTCTCCGTGTCGTGCTAATGTGTGAAGAACATACATGTAGCCTGGTATCATTTGTGTGAAATCAGTAAATATGTACCTCAGATACCGAGTTGAAATAAAAACATCATTGCTCTGGATTTCTGACTGCTCTCTGGTGCATTGTCAGGCGTGTGGTGTGAATGTAAGCACGTGGTTGTTTGAGGTATTTAAAGCCAAGGTCACATCACGACCGCGGCACTGAATGCAACAACCAGCAGGCCGTGATGTCATCCTGCAGCAACAACTCTTCCCAAAGTACAACATCAGTCTGGACTAAATCAATACTTATAATAATTATAACATAAACAATATTTACAGTTTGTTTTATCCCCCAAAGTGACTTATTTCATTTCTATACCATTTCTGTACTGCAATGTGTTTAACTTTCCCTCCAAAAACTGTATCTATAGGCAGAGAGGCTAAAAGAACTCAGAACTGCACAATCATGTTAATAAAATGATGCAGTTGCTTAATTATGGAGTACCTGTGAGAGGTGACAGCAGGTCCGTGACATACTAGACACTCTGCACTCCAAAATTTAAATATTCTGTGTAAACTCACTTATTTTGTTTTTTTGCTTTATTTTATTATTTTATTTTATTATATTTTTTCATTTTATTACATTTTAGTATTTTATTCTATTTGTTACTGTATATTATTTTGTTTTACTTTACTTTATTATATTGTATTTTTATTTAATTGTATTTTACCTTATTTTATTTTTCATTTCATTACATTTTAGTATTTTATTCTATTTGTTACTCTATATTATTTATTCAAAAACTTTTTAATTTATTTTATTATTTCATTTTATTCCGTTATTTATTTTATTTTATTTATTATTTTATTTTTATATATATATTTTTTTACTTTATTTTATTATATTGTATTTTTATTTAATTGTATCTTACCTTATTTTATTATTTTATTTAATTATATATTTTTTACTTTATTTTATTATATTGTATTTTTATTTGATTGTATTTTACCTTGTTTTATTATTTTATTTTATTTTATTTTATTTTATTTCATACCACACAGGTCTCAGCAAATGTACCTGCAACTGTAGGTTTATGACACAACCACAGGAGGGAGCTGTCACATTTAATAAAGTAGGTTATTGAATATTGCTGTGGGCTAATTGCAGAGAAGAAAATTACCATAATTAATCTGTGTATATCACTCCTAGTACAGCAACACAACAAGTAGCACATTACATTATTAAAACATCAGTGAGTCCTTTTAGTTCTATCCTCATTGTGACTACTCATTTGTTTTTATTGACTTCATCAATTCAAATTGTGTCAACATCAGGCAGGAGCAATTATTTTATCATTTTTAACAAAAGAAAAATAAACAGAACAACACAAAAACAAGAGATAGAATTTATCAGCGATGGTGGAAATGATGCACCAACATAAACATAAAAAAACAAACAGAGGCAACATCATAGGCTGGAGAACATTGAGAGAGACAAAGGGTATTATTTTTAAATGGAAAGGCAACAAAAACAAAAGGAGACACCATCAGGTTAACAAATAAGGAGCACAAAGAGGGAGACACATGAAAAGAGCAAAGACCCAAATATAGATGTATTCAGATTTTTAGCTTCACTGGTCAGTTTCTCCATAGGATACATTTCAGTGACTTGAAGTTATTGGCAAAGTTACTTATGAGCAAAGTGAAAGAGGGAGAACATCTGTTCACGTATGAATGTGATATTTACCCAAAATAAAAGTATCTGAAATGTTTGAGTCCAGCTTGTTGATAGAATAGGCTGAACTATGTCAGTGACATGGCTCTAGTCCTCCTTCTTAAAAACACAAATGGTCAATGATGTCATCTTTGAGGGCCAAAAGGTGAAAAGGTCAAATTCAAATTTAAATCTGTCTTGGTGAAAATCATTAACAGGGTTTATTTCATAGGTGTTTCTAGCACATTTTGGGGGGTGATGCACCTCTAAGAATCCCAACACCCCTAAAATTTAAGAGATTATTATATGTGTGTGTGTGTGTGTGTGTGTGTGTCTTCCACATTTTTCTCCTCACTGACTTGGTCAATCCATGTGAAATTTGGCACAGTGGTAGAGGGTCATGGGAGGATGTGAATGAAGCAATATTACATCAATTGGCCAAAGGGGGGCGCTATAGCAACCCATTGAAATGTCAAACTTTGAATGGGCATATCTCATGCCCCGTATGTGGTAGAGACATGAAACTTTGCACAGAGATGCCTCTCCTCATGAGGAACACATTTGCCTCAAGAACCCATAACTTCCGCTTATATAGATTTTC